CAAATACCGCCACATGTTTATGATATACAATCCGAGTAAACAGTGAATTCTTTTTCGTTCTTTAATATTTATTTTGTGTACAACTGATTTAGATCTTTACTGGTAAAATTAACAAGTCGGGTACATTTCTAAACTGTTTAAAAATGACTTAATTAAAAAAGTTGTATATTATAATTAGAATTACTTCAATTTCCAAATAAAATATTCTTTAATCAGAATTGAAAAATACCTCAATATTGATTTATAATTTTATAAATATTATATTTTTTGTATTTTATAATATGTAACATTGTAACTACTGCACACAGGAAAAAAGCTCAACAATATAGAATTCTTATATACAAGTAAATAAAAAATATATACCTATTTAACATATTTCCATATATTGTACTTATTATACGTTATAACTTATATTATAATGTCATTTAAAAAGTTTGTAAACAATTATATTATATACTTTACCAAAAAATATTATGATACATAAGTGTATATACAATTAATAGGCAATTGTAATGGAATTGACTTATATTATAATGTATAGTATAGGTATTTAAGTATCAAAGTATCAACTAATCGATGTGTAGTACTGAGTGCTTCGTTATTATATTTAATATTATAATGATATTGTGGTTAAATATAATATTTGAGAACAGAATTATTATTGTATAATTAAAATTAAAAACTAGTTTTTAGTTCCAAATTATATTGCTGAAATCAGTTATTATATCTATGATCTATTTATTAGGTAATTAACAACCGTGTTTATAAAATATTTATTTTAAATTATCATATAAATTGTTTTACTGTTTAGTTTATTGTACACAATATTATAATATTTTTAGAAAATTATATGCAAATTAATTGAATAATTAAGAAGTTTAAATTCTTTCAAGTCACAATCTGTTTAAAGCAATTCATATAAATTTAATAATTTTTTATTGTAACTATATGTTTAATTATGCATTAATGCGCGCGAATATATTATATACATATATATTGAATAGGTACCTACATATATTATATATTTTTGAGTTATTATAGGTATACGTTTAATATAATTTATCTGTAGCAAACATACATTTTGGGATAAATAGTTCTTATGTTTAAAACCTGTTTTATTAAAAAATACTGTATTGTATAACATTTATCAATATTAGATAATACATATTTGCATTTATTTTTAAAGGTTTTTCATATAAATATTTCGTACAAAAATATTTGCCAATAAATTGTTAATTATACGTGTACCTTATGTAGTTACGTCCTGATATACGTACTATATTATACGTGTGTGTTCAAATAAATTGGTAAAATAATAATGGTACTAATCTTAAAAAATACAAGTTGCTCAGATATCCGGTTAATTGTCTGCACTATATAGGCAATATATAGGTATATAATATGCAATGTACACCAATGTTATTTGGGTGAAGTAAGGTGGAAGAAACTACAAAACCCATGTACCGCGAGCCTTAAATAGGTTTCGAAAACTCTCATGTTACCTTCCAGCTGTCATGTCGTATTACCATCATCCTATTTTTTTTTTTATGAGCATGTTGATGGAAATGAGAGCATTATGGATGAATTATGATTTGACCGTAGGAATTTAGACGAGTACAATGGCATAAAATAATACAAAATATTATTTTATTCTTTTATAATGTTTTATGTACTACTAAGGACTACTACAACTACTTGGGACTCAATATTATTTCATATATTGAACTAAACACGAACAAATATATTATAAAACATTATCCATTGATAATTATAAATAGGTACTTATTTCTATAAATTCTTAAAATAAGATTAAGATACAACAAATTTAATTAATGTGCACGTTGATTTTTGATTGCAATAATATTTATATTATCATCCAATAATTTAAAATAACGTCGACATAATATAATTATGGCACTAAAAACAGTTTTTTAAGTTTAAGATGAAATAACACCATCTTAAAGTCGGGCCCTTATCATTTCTGTGCAGAATAGTGATGTATTGTGAATTTGTGATAATAAATTCGTATGAAATTAATTTCAGCCAAATGTTTTGAAGATTTCCTATATTTTTCCTCTGGCTTAGAAATTAGATTCTGATGTACATTTCTTAACATTTCTTCTTTCAAAAAATAGCAAAAATCACCACTGCATAAAACGTATGCTAATCATATGCTAATCGTATGCTAATCGCTTTACTCAGGGTCCAAAACAATTTTTAAAAAATAAGAAAATTGCATTTTTTTATTTATTATTAAGTAGGTAGGTACGTAATGGCTGATAGTTCGTATCATATTACTGTATAATATTCGGATTATTATTTAAATCTACACTTGATTTATTACTCTGGAGTGATGTTCGTATTACCCATTACTCATTAGGTACATTTATTTAACACACCAGTCATAAATTAAACTTACATTGTAAAGATGAGGTGAAATTCACAGATTTTGGATTTTATTTCTCAGTTGAATGTCATCGGGGGGCCAAAATGGCCGGTGATTGACAGATAAAGGAAACCAAAAAGGCGGAGCCTTGTCTTCTGAATTCAAGGGGTTACTAGGCAACCATAACACAACAATATGTGCCTGTTCTAGAATAACAATATGCAGGTCTAATAAGGACGTACATGCGTTATATACGCATAATAACCCTTGTTGAAAGAACGCTACTAGAGGTACTTGGAAATCTAGCGTAGGGGTGATTTCACTGATTTTAGGACACTAATTAGTATAAGGTTTATTAGACGGCTTATGTCATTCAAACTTGAGTTTTTACAAGTGGCAAATTAATATGTTTATCCCTTTTTTAAATATATCCAACGGAATGGAAATAACTACCTGCAAGGTACCTACATATGAGCACGGGAACGCAAAAAGTGCATGTTTTCAACCTAAACATCATTATTTTTTAAATAAATATTAAATATTAGTACACAAATTGATACACAATAAGCATACATTTTCAAACAACCAGTCCACATTAAATTCAGAATCTATAATAATATATAGATACCTAATATACATAATATATTTATATATTAATGTATAAAAAAGAATATTTAATAAAATTACTTGATTATTAAGGAAATCCTTATAAAATAACCATCGAGTCGCTGACATAAGAATTTTTATTTTATAGACTAAACCTAAAGTTTTTTTCTTCTTAAAATGCATAAATGCATGTTTAATATAATATATACCTACATAGGTTTATCAGATACAAATGCACTATAAGTTATAGTTTCACTATACAATATGCATTATACATCTCATTAATATTTTATTCCAAATTCCATAAATTGTTAGTAAATTATACATTGTATAGTGTCTTTCTTTTAATGTAGAATACTTATCATATAAAATATAACTAATATACGTCAAATAAAATACTAAATACTGCAGATATAGTATATGATATACCTATATATTGTAATAGATCATCTTATTAGTTGCCTTGGGCGTAAAAAAAAAAAATGTAATAAAATTTCAATAGAAAAGTTGTCAGTTTTGTTTTATATACACTTTGTGATTTTTTGCCGCCAGTTCAGTGGCCTGTTTCGGCTTAATAATTACTAGGTTACTTTAATAATTTGACGCTGGTAGATCACGCCCCTTGCGTTTAGGTTTTTTTTTTTTTGTTTTAAAGTATTAAATTAAATAGCGGCGGCTAAATAAAAGTATTTATTGTCAGTAATTATAACACCCATAAGTTATTTCAAATGTTATTCGATAGAACTAGAAGGAAAAAAATACCATTTAGTTATGATCATATTTTTTAGGTTTAAATATTCAAGGAAAAATATGATAGAATGGAATAATATTAAAGATTAAGTTGTAGCTGTTTCTATATAGGTACACAAGTTGTTTTACTCAACATCTTTTGACTGTAATTTGTTGTCTAAACCTGATTTATTCCGAACGTGTAATACATAATATACGGTCTACTAATTCATATAGGTATATAAATTAGTAAAATGGGTTTGGACAACAAATTACAAATTACGTTTTGATTCTAAGCAGAAAGAAAAATTGCTTGATTTTCGTGAGGTTTTTTTTTTAATATATAGGGCGATTTACCAAACATGCTCACCCCCATTTTCCCTTTAATATAATGAATTTATTCAAATTCTAATTTTTGCAATTTTTGAATTTACCTACTCATATTTTAAAATTTTTGAATTTGTTTTACTACTTTAGGGATTTCCTGTGACGATACTAACTTCTGTTTTTCAAATTAGAACCCCTCTTTTTTTACTGTAATTTATTTAGTGGATCTTTTTTTTGAAAATTAGTGGTTTTTGAGTTCTTAAAATGTTTGTATTTAGTATAACAGTCCTTAAAAACGGTTTTACATAAATATAAAAAAGACATAAAACTAGTATTTACTATACTTGGGCAATTTTTAAAAATTATTATTATTAAATTTTCAAATCACTATAGCCCCATATCTTATAAACCCATTACCATGGAACTTTTATCCTTAGAACACAAAATTAAATGACTCAAACACCACCCGTACAAATTTTGATTTTGATACGTCAACAACTTCAGAAAAATTATCCACTGTATAATTTACAGTTGAAAAGGGGTGTTTTCATTTGAAAAACAGAAATTTGTATCTCCACGGGACATTCCTCGAGTAGTATAAAAAATTTCAAGAATTCGAAAATATAGTCTAAAGTACCTATATTTAAAAATTCCAAAAATCAGATTTTGAATAACTGCAGTATTGAAGGAAAAAAGGGCGAGCATGCTTGGTGAATCACCCTATACACAATTTATGAATTTATTTAGTAACAATCAATTAATATTATCTGAATGTAGTACCTATACATATTTTTACTTCAGCTTATTTTTATCGTACATTTAGGCATATCTAAAATAAATCATAAATACAAATTTGAAAATATAGCTTTTAGGAAATAATATATCCCTACTTATAATACATTATGAGGTATTGTCAAAGATAATTAAAATTTTTTTAATGCAATTCTTATAGGTACTTGGGACTGCAAAATTACCCGCCAAGAGAGTTTAACCCATTGCTTAGTCATAAAGAAAATTGTTACCGATATCCATTTTTGAAAAGTAGACAACAACAATTGTGTGACCTTGGAGAAAAAATTATGAGTGTAAGTAAGTGTTCTACACAAGAAAATAGAATTTGAAAAATAGTTTTTATATTGTATTTTGTATATAGGTTGTGAGCAGTGGAACAAAAATGGCCATTGAAGAATGCCAACATCAGTTTAGCAATCAGAGGTGGAATTGTACCACATATTCAAATAACACGTCCGTGTTTGGAAACGTATTGTCATTTAGTAAGTTAAACTGAATCAATAATGTATATTTAAGCTTTAAATACAATTATTTGGGTGTGCATATTGTTAGAATGCAATGCTAATGTTTAAAATATTATACATTTAGAGAGTAGAGAAAAAGCATACGTGAATGCTATTACATCGGCCGGAGTAGCATATGCGATCACAAAAGCATGCTCAAGAGGTGAACTGAACGAATGTAGTTGTGACAATAAAATGCAAAGAAAACAAGCTAAAAAGAATTGGCAATGGGGAGGATGTTCAGAGGTATGCTAAGTCTTTTCTTTAAGAACACATGAATTAAAACTAAACTTTTATAATATCAATTTTTATAGGATATACGTTTCGGTGAAAAGTTTAGTCGTGATTTTGTCGATTCCATAGAAGATATTGATAGCGTTCAAGGGCTAATGAACGTACATAATAATGAAGCTGGTCGAAGGGTATGAGACTATGGTTTTTTACATTTATTTTGCTATATAATTAATTTACTTTTTAAAAATACGTTTTACATGTTTTTTCTATAGAATTTAATTTTTATAATGAAGTGTATACACTTAACACTTATTATGTTATTGCATTTTATAAAATATATATTTAAACATAATAGTATATTATATAATATATATAGGTAATGAATAATAATATACAAATAGCTAATATAAATATATTGGAGTATATTCATAGAAATTATATGTAGGTACCTGGTAATATTATTGATATAATCAATATCGTTTATTAATATATTTATTTATTTATTTATTTATTTATTAATTAATTCACGGAATAAAAAATTCCTTATTTAGTACAGTACACTACAAAAATTCAGTAAAATAAGATAGTTAACATATACAAAGGGCGATGGCCTAAAAATACAGCAGAATTACAGGCACGGTAAATATAAACTAAAATAATTAGGACACAAGTAAAATTAAATACACAAAAAGGACAAAAATAACACAATATTAAGGTAAACTGATTTACCATAAGATAATTTCACGTTTACTTATGTGAATAATCGGTAAGTATCTGAATGTTTTTATAACATAAAGCTACAATGTTGCTTGAGTCTTCTCATTACCATTAACAGGAGTATACCTAGGTAGGTACATGATGTTATTTTTTAGTAATTTAATAAATTTCCATCACACTTACTGATTATTCAATTACAGATTGTAAAAGAGAATATTCAACGCCATTTCTAGAAAAAAAATAACATACACTATCGTGTTAAGATATTATAAAATAATTTTAGAAGACTAATACATTACAAAGAACATAATATTATGAACAACTTTAAATGAAAAAGTTGTGGGTGCTAAATTGTTTATTATGATAGTAAATTTCACTATACTAAATTATATATGTATCCATAATTTTTTAGTTTTATTTGTAGGTTTTTGTTGGTAGGGGAAGGAACACTTGTGTGTTTGTTTGGCAGAATTTTTGATTTTAGCACCCATAGGTATCTGCCAGGCTCGTCCCTGAGGGGGGGGCGATCCCCCTCCTGTAAGACGTGTAATTTTCTGTTTTTGTACGATATTGCATCAAATATATAGGTTTAAATATTTTGTTTACCAAAGTGGTATTAAAGAGAAAAATTTTTTCGTCCCAGCCGACGCCTTGGTCCGCTCGGCCACTCCATCCCCCACTTTATTGTTATTAAATTATTAACTTAACAATTAATCAGATAAAATTTTTGTTAACCAACTGTTGTTATTATTATTATAAATATTTAGGGCAGTAAGCGTATATGTTACTTATGTAATGTGGATATGTGATGATCGGTTATTATTCCCAAATTTCAAAATTGTATAATATACTAAACAAAATATTTAAATTATGGGTTTTTTTTTATAGTTCTTATAAATATTTATGTTTAAATAAGTCATAAACTCTGACATTAACCCAGCGAAAACGAATAAACTGCATTAATGCATTATTATTATTTTATTCAAAACAGAGCTATTGCCTTTCGAAGTTTCAATATTATAATAATTAACTATTAAGACTAGGTATATTTCATTTTTTAGATTATTCGCTCTAGTATGCAAAAAGTATGCAAATGTCATGGCATGTCAGGTTCATGTAGTGTACGCATTTGTTGGATGAAACTTTCATCGTTTCGGGATATTGGAGATTCATTAATGGTTCGATATGAAGGTGCTTCACATGTACGACTTGGCGAAAAGAAAAGAAAGAAAATTAAAAAACTACGACCAATCAGGATGGACAGAAAAACACCCAATAAAACGGAACTCGTATACTTAGATACATCTCCGGACTATTGTGAACGCAATGAATCGTGAGTAGTTTTTATTTTATACGTATAGCAACAACAGTATATAACTACACTTTACCGGTTTAATAATTAAATATTTATTTAAAACAGATTGAGCCTATTGGGTACTTACGATCGTGTATGTCAGGGATTAGATGGCTGCAGACATCTATGTTGCCACAGAGGATTTCAAATTAGATTAAGGGACGTAGAGGAGAAGTGTAAATGTAAATTCATTTGGTGTTGTAATGTTGCTTGCGAAATTTGTAGGTATAAAAAGGAAGAGTATATTTGCAATTAATCACATTTTGTATAATATTGAGAGTTCACGAATAACTCTAAAAACTATGATATTTATTATTTTGTTTGTCTATAAAATATACAATTCAAACGAATAACGTATTCTAGTATTCTCATCACAAATAACTTTGTATAATTTTCTTTAAAACGGATCGAACTTAAGATATTTACTTGTTTTGGGATTGAAGGAGCAAAATAAGAAATGTCACTACCGATTTCTTCAAGTCTCAGGACAATTTAGAACCTTTATTAATGTTTTCTTAAAATACAAATTACTATTATATTATAAGTATAGTCAGTAGAAATTAGGTTTAATAGTTACCTACCTATTAAGAAAATGACTGATATGTATGATAGTGATGAGAATTCTAGGACTCATCAATTGACGATTATAGATAACTTGATAACGTTTCAATATTATGTAACATTTATTTGCCAAATAATTTAAATTTCCTTAAATACATTCACTGTCCAATATGGCACAAATATGGCATTGAGATATTTTGTATTATGATAAGAATATTTATTTTTAATTTATATTATAATATTGAGTGCGCACGTTTACTTCCCACTTCTGTCCTATAGTTTTCTGTTATAATTTATTCAATATTGTATTTAGAGTCATATTAATTATTAATACGCACACGTGTATTTATTAGTTGTTTTCTAGAGTTTACTTTTTTTTATCATAGTATATCAGTTAAGTTTTTTTTTTATATAAGAAAAATAAATAATCTATTTTATTATTTTATAATTTTAAAATTAATATAATATTAATATTTTTGTCATAATTAAAAAAATCTAAAAAGTACATTTTATTCATGAGTTAATTGTAATATAGAATTTTAATTTTTAATGATGACATGACATTTTATGTAAGACATGTAGTAATAAATTAGTTTGAGACATTTGTTGTTTTGATTTTTGATAAATATTCTGCTGAACGACAAGCCCTTTTAATTATTATTATTATTATTATTATTAATTACGACATATAGAATATGTAACATTGTGACTGTATGTCATACAAATATACAATTACCAAGTAATACATTATACATGTATAAATAATTGAAAGAGAAGTTGAAAATTCTAAATTATTCCCATCTAAAGTTCATTGCGGAACTATTGATAAAATTTCCTGTTGAGGGGTACAACAATTATGTAACTATATTGGAGTACAGTTTTTTTCAGTTCCTATCATTTTTATGTGAAATCTGGTCACCTGGATCACAATTTGTTTTGTTAATCATGTGGTATAAATGAAATACATATGTTATACCATTGATTATAAATCCAATAGCATTTATGTATGGTAATATACTAATATGTATAATACATATTGTTAACTATTAACTAGGTCATAAATGTTATTGTTTTTAATAATCAATTAACATTATCTATAAAATACCAAAACGATTGACAATTCCCATTTCCCATATACATTGAACATACAATTTCAGAAGAATTAAAAACTAAATCATCTTATGAATAAACAACTATTCTAGATTTAGTGAATAGATCTATAATCTATTGACAGTCGATGACCACCCCCCCCCCCACGATATTTTTACAAGTTGTATCTATAATTATGACTATTCAATATTTCAGTGATAATATCATCTAAAAGCATAAGCTTGTTAATAATATAATATTTTATTATAATATACCTACGTAACAGACAATGGTACAACTCAACGTCATATAGGATCAACTAACAAATGTTGCTATATTATAATTTATAAGTAGGTATAGGTATTGAAAAACTCCATAGATCAAGAATCTGTATTGATAGTGACTATAGTGACGTGACATTGTGACATTGTAACAAAGTGATTGGTCAATACTCATTAGAGTTATAGACAACTTCACTACCTAACTTAAAAGTAAGTACCAACAAAACAAAATATATTGTTAAATAAAAAATCTACCAGCTTATATTTAAATTAATTACACTTTTACACACTATAGTATTGTCATCCTTGTCTTACATTTGTTTATATATTATATACCTATAACCATTAGCTATCAGGATTTTTCACTCTTTGTCTCTTTTTATTTATTTATATGCGAATTAATGAAACCTTTAACTTGGTACCTACTTAAAATTATGATAAACAAAAATTGGCATTGGTAAAGCGTGTGATCTACCGATAAAACAGTTGATAAATAAATAAAAATGTAATATTATACTATATTATATTATTATTCAATTCAAAAAATAACTATATTTAATATATTAAAGTACACAAAACAAATGACACAATTAGTATTAGTCAAAAATTCAAAATATATAAATTGTGTTCAAAATATGATAATAGTTACAACATTATTTTTTATGAAACATATCTATAAATACATACATAATTATTTCTATTCTTTGTTCTAATACATCACCATTTTCCAACATAAACCAAACACCCAAGCACCTTCGATCCTACGTCCATAATTTCGGTTATTTACTGGTTGATTCTCTTTTTCTGAATCTGAAGTATCAGAACTATGAGGATCAATACGGCGATCACCTATTAAAATTCGTCCTCGATTGTACTTACGTTTTCCGCGTAATAAGGATTCGTGAATTTGTACAGTTTCTCCTGGACCTCCCATTGCTTGGCGTTTGTCGAGCAATGAACAACAAACATCTCGACATAGATTAAACCAATCAAAAACGGTCGGTTTATAGAACGACCAGTAAGAGAACATCCTGTTGTTATTGGAAGATCTTGAGTCCAAAAATAAATTATTTCTTATATCTGAACCAAACTTAGATTTGAATGACAACGAGAATTAAGGTCGGTGTAGGTAAAAAATAAATTATTTGTTCGAATTGATTTGAAAGTTTGACACCCTTTTACTACGCACCTGATAGATTTATATTCTCGAGTCTCTCCAGATGCTAATCTCTTTTTTCGTACACAAATTTTAGTAGCAACACCACATTTTTCGCAATTATTAATTTCATGTTCTTTCGGCAACAGTCCATGGTTTTGAAGAAATTCTACACTAGAGTTTTTAGAATTAATAATTTTATAAAAATCCAATCCTAACATTTTTAAAACACACTCCGTACTCACGCACACACGACTGTAGGTTAATGGTAAACATATAAATGCACAGACGATAGACGTAGTGACCTGTTAGCTATTTATTTCTTTAATCGGTTTTTTTCAAGACGTCAGGGGCGCCATTTGGGGGGGGCAGGGTGTGCACTCCGGCACTCGCACACCCTGTAATTTTGGTGTCCACAATTGGCCTAGGCCTCATTAATACTATGGCCTTCAGTTTGCTTATCTTTAATTGTGCATGCACCGCACTGATAATCATAAATTATATTATAATATTATTGTGTTCTTCAATTTATATAAAATAAAAATAGGTGGGTAAGTGGATGTCGCTTAGCTGTACAGTAGGTTACAAGTGGGTCACTGTATAAGGATGGTATTAAATTTGAATTCAATGATACAATATCATTGTATAAGAAAAACGATTCTGAGCGAAGACGGTATGTCAGTCTAGGTTTAAGACATATTATATACATATCTATGGTATTAAAAAAAAAATTGACCTATAATAAATTCCAAATTAATCATATCACAATATCCACTAGGTACTTATAACACGTTATACATCAATAACAAACCCTGATACTATCATTGATATATAATATAGTGTACTTTAGAAGTTTCAAGTACCCACGAATAGTATTATACACTCACAATAAAATGACTAAAATAGGTATGCTACTTTTTTTAATATGTAATTTCGTCCCAAATTTGAACTTAAAATGTCTGTAAAAAATAACTGTGCTCATATATTTTTTAGATTTTTTGGCTACAGTATGAACTATTTATGAGAATATTTTTTTTAAATTTTCAATCTTTAGCTATAAAAACTGAACATTTTAGAATTTATTAATTACGATGGTTAATAATTTTCGAGATTTTGATAAATTCTGTCAAAATTCGATGTTTAAATGCTTATAAAAAAAAATTGTGCCAATGTATTTTTAAAATTTTTCAACTGATATTGTAACACTATATCAGGAGCCTTGTATTAAATTTTTACACTTTTTGGCCCAACAGATAAAACTTTATTGATATTTATAGAAAAAAAAAACTAAAAAAATTGAAAACTGAAAATTTCCATTAACAGCTCAAAAAGAGTCAAAATATTTTCAAAATTGTACGGTGTATAGGAAATGCTAATCTGAACATTCAGTGAAATTTTCATGTATCTATAGTTATTCGTTTTTGAATAACAACAAAATAAGAAAATCGCTACATGAGAAATCGAGTGAATATCCAATGTTGTAAAAATTTGAATTTCAAACGCTCATAAAAATTTAATTTGACTTTCTTATAGAATTTTTTTTTTGATAAATATAGGAAATCTTATAAGGAATCTTGTATTACATTTTCATATCTTAGATTTAAAAAGAAACATTTTTATGAATTTCTAACTCGAAATAATTTGCAAATTTTCGTGATTTTTCCATATTTTGTCATTTTTTGAACTTTAAATGCTTAAAAAAAAAACTGTGACTAACGATTTTTAATATTTTTCATCTGTCTTTGAAACAATATAGTAGGAGCCTTGTATTAAATTTTCAAATATTTTTACTCAACAAATAAATTTTTATTGATATTCATAAAAAAAAAAAGGTGGGTAAGTGGATGTCGCTCTGCTGTACAGTAGGTTACAAGTGGGTCACTGTATAATTGATGCTATTAAATTTGAATTCAATGATACAATATCATTGTATAAGAAAAACGATTCTGAGCGAAGACGGTATGTCAGTCTAGGTTAAGACAAATTATATACATATCTATGGTATTAAAAAAAAATTGACCTATAATAAATTCCAAATTAATCATATCACATTATCACAATATCCATTAGGTACTAATAACACGTTATACACCAACAACAAACCCTGATACTATCATATATATATAATAGTACACTTTAGAAGTTTCAAGTAGGTACCCACGAATAATA